GGCGTGGGTTTTCTATGATATTTTCATACTCGCCGCCGTATTATATTGGAAGATTTCAACATGGACGGCGCTACTTGGCTAGGTGGCTGACTGGCGCGGGTTTGTTCGTTATATGTCTCGTTCGAGTACCGTTGCTCGTTGATGGTGGCATTATATTCTCGTTTCTGATATATTCCGCTGTATTTTGTACTGTAAGAAAATTAAGCGCGCGCGTTTTTCATATTTTCCCATACAATGCTGAAAGAGACCGTTATTATTTGAAAGCCACAAGCGAAATTTAAAATGTGTTTTGAAAAGAAATGCAGCAAATATGAGAAGATTTTCTATAAATGTACATTGAAATATGTATGTGGTTAATTACGTCGTATAAAAAATTTTAGCTGTAAGATGGTGTGAGAGTATAGGCACTTGGGAGGTGTGGTGATTTGCAGAGGGGGCTGCGCTGTACAAGGGGCTACACATACATACATACTGTGTATTTCATATACAAGTTGTATGTACATATGTACTTGTGCTGTAATGGTGGACCGGGAGTAAGTGCGGTTAGGGACTAAGCGGTTATTGAGGAGGGAGGCTTAATGCAAGGGCGCGAGGGGCAATGCGACGACAGCACGGACGAAAGCAATGTGGAGCGTTGATTGTTCACACCGGCAGCGTTAACGTTAACGTAAACGTCTACGTCAACGTCAACGTCAATGTTTGCCTATCAACGAGGGCGCCACTTTGCAGCACAGCATATGAAACGGAGGGGAAGAAGGCCAATAGCGGTGTTTTGGTTAGCACAGTTATACATACATATGTATGTATGCGTGCTTATGTGTGGAGTTGCGTGGCGAGTAACCAACATGATTATTTAATAAACGGAAAGTGCGCGCGCGCGGGCCATGTATAGAGATACCACAATTCTCATGCTCCTTTTAGCTACATTATATTTAAATTTAATAATTTATTGACTGAGAATTTGTAAAATGGTGAAATTTGCAAAAAAAAAACAACGTTCGCAGCTCTTGTATGCCAAACCAAACAACACTAGGAAGAAGCGACATTTTTATGAGCTGCTGCCGCTTTCACGGCATTTATGCGCGCGCGGCGTACAAAAGTATGCTTTGAAGCCGCGCGTCGCTACGCCAAAACACACACCAGTAAGTTCAAGAAGTGACGGGCGCGCGCATAAACATAATATCTTAAACCTATACACACAAATCTGTTTATTGTGAATTCATTTCGAAAGGGTGAAAGCAAATCTGACACAAAGCTCTGCGCTGATTTTCCTACGAATATCAATACGTATGTATTATAATTTGCTCACAGCTATGCTGCTATGCTGAGCCTCCCTCGATAACCAGCGCGGCGCTCTGCTCTAATGGCGTTGCTACTTTTGTGGCTTTTATGCAAACGCACAAATACATTGATATTGGACTTAATCGTACAATTCAGACACACACAGCCATGTGAGCTGTTGAAAACAAAAGTACTCACAAGCAGCGTAGTGACAGCGGCAGCAAAAGCAACGTTGACTAGTAGCGCTGCGAAGTCTCGCCATTGAATGCCACTACAGTCGTGTCTCACGACTACTACCCCATGCGTATGTAATTTTATGCTGAGTTGCGACAAAACTTACACAAGCTCATACTGCAACAATATGGACGCCACTGTCAGAAAACATGCGTTCTACGGCTATATTTCAATTTTATACGAGATACTTTGGGCGCGCAAATTTTTAGACGTATGAAAGGGTATGAAAGTATGGTGTGGAGGAGTAGGTACTTCATGACAATACGCACTTCATTGTTAACTCCGCCAAACAGTTAGTGCGGCAGGCAAGCCAGCTCGAATGTGCATCTTACGGTTGTAGTCCGGTCAAAGGGCAATACATACATACATACATATATATATAGATATTAGTGCGTATGCAATTTCGAATGGCATCGTTTTCGTTGTAAATCTATGTACCGATGAATTTTAATATTTGAATTGGTGTTTGCGCCACATGTGCGTGCGTAATACCTTGCCTGGCTACCACATATGGGCTTAGTGTTAATTGATGCTAATATATCACCTTGACCTACATTCAATAGAATAGTGAACAGCGTGTAGATTCTAGTTTATATTGACATTTTAATTGCAGTATTTATTTATTTTATATTCAATCATGTAATTAAATATTTCATAAGTAATTGTGTGAAAAATATTTATTGGATCATATTTATAAATTTGTATATAGTATGTATATTTGTTAAGTTCCAAAATGTTGTTAGAGCTCTGTTAATATTCCGTACAAAAAAYTTTAATATAAATAACTATATTAGCTAGTATTAAACTAAATTCAAATACATACATATGTACATATGTCGTGAGGTTTAAAACTTAACTTACTACTTACCAAGCCAAACTGGGTTGGATTGCATAAATAACAGCCATAAACACAACAGTATATAAAATCTAGATGAGTTCTGGCAGGATGTCTGAAGCATAAYCATAATTGCAGATTACGCCGCTTTCCTAATAGAAGCAGAATACAATATTGAAGATAAAAGTGTTTTTCTCAAGAGGTGAGACATTTCAGCGGTCTGTAACCTCGGAGTATATTTTAACACGAAAAACTTACAATAAATTCCAACAGTCGCACTGAAAACATTTAAAAAAAATTTTTGCCATATTCATTTGTAGAATAGCATAACAAAGCTATTACCAATAGATCCATATCCATTTGTCGGATAGCATCAAAAAGCTGTTACCAATAGCAGRAATATCGTGCATAATAAACTAAAAGATATGTGAATATTACAAAAGTAATATATAGATATTATAAGCACATAAGGTATAATCACACTTCCGAATATTACCTCACATTTATAATCGATTTCCGTTATTACTGGTTGGTACCAAGTATAACCAAGAACAACTCAACAACTTATGCAATTACTTAAAGCCATTAATACACTTAAAAAAACACGCTACTAAGCGTTTGTGACACAAATTTCCTGAATATAGTACTCATAAACCTCACAAGTCAAAGACTTTAAACTCCACATGTCGGCCAGTTCATTCGATGGATACGCTGAGTAACGCGCGTTTAGCCGGTATAAAATCATTAGCATGTGCTGCGCTCGAACTACCGGTACCGATGCCGGCAACTAATAAACAATCTCATGTGCATGCGTACTTCTCCACATTCCCACATACCAAGTACTGTATGCTGTAGTACATATGAACATGAATACATGCGCTCGTAGAGATTTTCCCGCGATAGCTGACCAACTGGCTACTTACCTATCTGGTAGTCGACTGTCTGGTTGTTTACTTGGTTGCCTAAAATATATCGGCGACTCAACAAACGATTTTACACTAACGTGTCAAGATATTGGAACGGTGTAGAAAAAAATCTCACTAAGCATTTCATATGAACGACACACAGTGCAATGGCCGATTTTCATACGAAATCTTTAGCTTAATGTGTACGCCACCAGTGTGATAAACGTCAACAGTTAACGACGAACGCGCAACGCACAACGCAAGAGCAACCACATACAGAAATATATATTTTTCTCATGCAGAGCCAAAACGCCACCCATTCGTGAGCATAACTATATACATACATGTATGTGGTGTTTATTCGTTCGTTTTGTCAATGAGTCGGCAGCTGCTTGCTGAGTTTTCGGTATAGAGCAATATTGGCACGACGACGCTGTGGAACATTTGCCGCGTGAGGGTAGATAGGCGGTCGACGAACGCTTCGTCTCACTCGATTCTGTACATGTAGATATGTATAGTAKATGCTACATATGTAAATAGGTAGTTGTGAGCTTCGTGCAAACTGTGCTTGTTTTTTATTGTTGCTATCTTTGTTTCAGTCAGCTCATTGCTGAAGCACAGTACTGTACTGTGGCGGCTGATTATACGACAGCTGTACGCGTTGCTACTTTAGTATGTTTGTTGCTTTTGTTGTTTTTTATGTTAAACTGTTGTTTTTGCAATCGTTATTGTTGTTATTATTAACCAGCCTGCTCGCTGGCGCACATATTTGTTCGTTAACTCATACCGTCGCCTTGCCCCACCACTGCAATCCAGTACCCCGCCAAAATTCACATAGTACCCCTCAAATGACTACCATTTATGACACCACGAATCAACCGTTTTTGTATACGATCGAGCGATATCTACTTACTTTACTGGCACTGCCTGCCTGCCTGCTTGTATCTACACCGGTYGTAGAGTACAGCCAACAAGCCAGTCAAAGCAGTCACAATGTCAATTTGTCGGCTTGTACGGTGCGTCAGACGGTCAGCGAGACCGCCAGTCAGYCGGTTCGCCATTTCGATTTCTCAGTGGTGTTTTGCTCTACAATCGCCTTTACCACGAGTTGAATTGAGTTGAAATGTACTGAAATCAGTCAGCAACGTTACAAATGTATGTTTACATACAGACGTACATCTATGCATTTAAATTTGTTTGCCGTATTCGTATGGCCGTTCGTTAGTTCACCGGCTGGTTCGTTAGCTCGTTCGTATGGCAGCCATATTAAAAGCAGCCAAAGGCAGGCCAGCTATATCGCACAACCATGTCAGCTATATTTTTGCTTTGCCGGTGCTGTTGTTGCAGCTGCCACTACTAATATTAACGCTGCTGCGTTTGCCTTGATGGCCTCTCTACATGTAAATATGTATTTGTATAGTATGTCACTTCTCCTCTATAGACGCTGGTCGTCAGCACGTACATGTTCGTATGTTTGCGTAACTAAATTTATGTGAAAGTGTGTATGCGTTATATCTGCTCCCGGCCCGTACGCCTAGTAGCAACTGCTTACATACAGACATGCACGAAGTCTCTGCCAGCCTGTGTAGTGGTTGCTTTTTGACTCGACTCAACTGTGTATTGCTGTGTAGCGGCTTGTTCTTCTTGCTGTCGCAGTACACAAGGCACGCAGGCAGGCAGTCAGCCAGGCAAGGCAGCCCAAGTGTATGTACCTATGCAGAATCGTTTAATGTCGTCGACAACTACAACGGCAAAGGCAGCAGGGCAAACAGCAGCAATCAGAGTAGTAGCAATAGCCGCAGTAGCAGCAGTGTATAAAATTTTCTTCACTGTTCATATAAACCCAAGCACAGCGCAGCCAAAGCAAGCCAAACCAAAGTATTTTGTATTTCATACTGTATTCGTTAATGCTTCGTTCTGTGTGAGAATCGACTCAACGACTCAGCTAACAAGCAAGCCAGAGCCATACAGCGCCATAAAGTGATAATAGCGTCGAAGTAGCAACGTACGCCAGCCAGCCATATAGTCATATAGCCAGCCAGTGAAGCAACGACGAAGAAATCAACCACTGTGGTGGCCTGCATATACTCGCTGTGTTTAAGTGTATTTTCTACTACTGCTGTATTACTGGCGCTGCTGCTGCTGCTACGTATTCATATCGCCAGTACTACACAAGGCAGTACGAAAGTCTCCTAAGCCACCGTGGGCACAGTACGTTTTGTCGTTTTGATCTCAACGCTAGGCGAACACACGCAGTGCTTCAAGTGAGTTTTTTTTTCAACACTGAAAATTTCACAAGTTTTTATCATTTTATATATATAACTTAGAGTATTTTGTGTCATTGTGGTTGGTTAAAAATTATTTCCAATTTATTTAAACAAATTGAGAAGTTAAGTTGAAAGTGAGGTGTACTAAATTTAAGTGCAATTAAAGTTATTTGTTACACTGTGCGCCAATAATACATACTATAGCTACTATATATTCATATGTTGGCGAGCAATGAGCAGCAACTCGTTCRTCTGTACTGACTGTATAGCGTTTGTGCTAAAACTAGGCATGTGCACAAACATACATAAAACTATGCAATTTAGTATATTGAAAAGCATTAACGGTTTTTGTAATATTCTAATAAATTGAAAATGTCAGGAAGAGTGCATGGCAAGTTAGAAGCTAATTTTGCACTTAATTTCGTATGTACCTATGTATGCGTGTATGTATGTATATAATTATTTATCTATCTGAGTAAAATTTATATGCATACGGCCTGGCACATTTCTCGCCGAGTTTTATGCAAAAACAGCACATATTTGTTGCAACAACAGTGCGTTGGAAACGAAAGTATCTCTTTACAATGGCAATTGACAGATTCCAATCACCATATTGGCGCAATGGAGCTATCGTTAACAACAAAAGTATCAACAGATTTGAATTAATGCGCACAGACGTTTAAGCWTATCACAGAAATTAAAAACAAATTAAAATTAGAAAAACATGCATAAACTTACATACATACGTATATACATATATAGGCACATACGTAATAAATATACACAAAAAATTGAATTATTGAAAAATAAATAATAAAAAAATCTGTAAAAATATAGATGAAGAAATAGGAAAATAAAATAACAAAATATTGAAAAATTAATAAAAAAATTAACTTAAATACTAAAAAATAGTTACTAAAAAATTAATTAAAAAATAATAATTAAAAATTAATCAAACTCATGACAAATAAATACCAAAAAAATGTGTTATATTGAAAAATGAAACTAAAATTAATTAACTTAAATATTGGAAAATACTGTAACAAAAATTAGGTAGAATATTGAAAAATAAATACTAAAAAAATTAGTAAATATGAGACTTGCAAATCTCAAAGAGTACTTATTTTGTAATTCAAAATTCTAACAATCTTCGGATTTCTATAACATTATTGTACACACAATTTGCTGTTGTTATGAAGACGCAGCTCACGTTTGCAGCGTTCCACATTAACTTTATAACCACAAAGTTTTTATTGACTAAATATTGATTACAAATTACACAAACAATCAATATGCTAGCGCAAGTTATTTTTATCTACTAACAAAAATCTTATCGTGAAAGATTTCATCACACAAATCACTGCTGTAGATAATGAACAAACAAATTTAAGAATATTGAAGGTCAAAAAATAAACAAAAAGTCCAAGTTTTCAACACAATTTTTATAAAATTTGACTATGGGGATAGTAATTGTTCACTAAGCCTGCAATGCAACACTGCGCAGCACTATTCGTTATTAAAATACATAAATATGTTTTATATAGTTATTGCCGCATTAAAAATTTAAACATATTTTATATATAATATTAAACTCTTCTAGCAATATTTTATGAATAAAAATGGTCCCAGCAAAGTTTTAATAAATACTTTTTATTTCAAACACTTTAAAAAATACTATTTATTTAATTAAAAAAATAATGTTAAGCAGCAATGGCTTAGCAAATGCTAATTAGCTTGTTGACCGCAAACAAAATTCTATAAAAAATATTTAGATATTGTTTAACGGTTGAACACAATATAAAAGCCACCAATTATAAATATTTATTAAGATATGCTTATAAAAAGTAGCACTATCAGCAATTAAAACACAATTCCTTAAATATATCATGAAATCGTCGTCAACATGTGCTACCACATGCACTCTTCAACATTTATAGAAATGGCGCCAAAAATTGTTTACCATTGTATGTGTGTACCGAAAATTTCGTCTGTATAGAATACAATCGTGTACACGAAGATCTCGCATACCTTTTTCACTACCATGACTCAATCTCAATTGGTACCGACAAATACCTACTGTATATTTACAACCCATATGTGTTTGCTTCTTATTGCGCTTTTATGTATGTACATATAAAACATATTATTTAAACTACGTTTTGATATATGTACTTTAGAATGCGTGTCACCGTCATTAAAGTTTCAATTTTAGAAGTGTTAAATACTTTAACACCTAAAAGCTAAATATAGCTGGTTTTTTGATAAAAATGTCTAACAATACGCGTTGATGAGTTTCAACTATAAAATAAGCGTTAAATTCAACTGTAAAAAGTGGTGCAACATGATAAAATTTCCGTTAAATTGTTGTTTGTATTACCGCCTTATTTGTTCCTTAACGGTACACTTAATTGCAATCACAAATATGTATATATTTTCWAACGTTCTTAAAGCAAAAAAATTAGTTAAATACTTTGAATTAATGAATTTGCGCACTTGTAAAATCGTACATATGTTTTGCTAGCAATAACTATTTCTAGAATTATGCCTAACAGGCCTTTTGTTATTTAAGAACTGCATAAACAACTGTTTTGCTGCAATATGGTAGGAACACATAGCATGTGCCGCAACAATGTTTAAACGATTTACTTAGTAAGCAAACTAATATTTTTGTTGTGATCGAAGCATAAAACATTGCCTAAAAATAATTTTTGGAAAATAGTTACAGTATACATAATTTAATAGGCTGTTTTTGCTGTCATAGAACCGACTGACATGTGATGACAAGATAACTGCATAAGTGACGGATTTCACGTTTACCGCTCATGTTCATGTAAGATATAGTACATACTTATGTATACATGCATGAAYATTTGTATTTTTACAACTATTTGCCATCTCTTTAGGTATATTTGCCGATTAATGCTTAAAATTTCACAATTCGAACTCAAAAACATAAAATAGTTTAAAAGTAAACCCGCGTTTAATGACAAGTGCCACACAAGCGCTGGCACGAGTTACGCTCTTAAAAAAAGTTCGTTATATGAGCAGGAGTAGACATTGTGCCGCTTAAATGCGCACTCACTTTTCATAACGTAAGCATTTTTTTTTCCTTAAGCTAAACACTTTTGCCTCCACAGCGTTTGCTTATTGTTTGAGCAAATATCACAGCGATTGCTCGGCGATCACGTTCGCCATATTGAAGTATGTACAAACACATGATATTTATATACATACACACGTTGCATGTTTACATATACTTAACTGTAACTATGTGTGCGTGAATTGTTTTTGAAAACCGTGAATGCTGTGTTAAAAGGGGGTGTGCACTGTGTCGCGCCATTACCACTTATTCACCACACTAACACCGACTACCCCGCAAAGTGCTTGAGGTGTATATTAAATATTGTATGCGCAAATTGTTTTTCAAATCGACGCTTTTTCTGTTCTATACGACGTATAGTCAGCGAAGTGTATCTGTTTATTCGGCGATCGTGTATTTTGTGAGCCATTATCGCTCGTTGACTGATTCTTATATAGCACTCGTTGCATGCGCCCATACACTTTATAGTGAAATTACATGTACTTTTCATATACATACAAACATATGTATGTACACTTTTTCGTGTTATACTTATTTTGGAGAGTTTGAGTCAAATCACTTTGTAGAGTGTTATCGCGGTTATGTCAATTTTTAATTTTTTTTATTATTTGCTTTCAATCTTTATATAGACTTATCGCTATTTTTTGTTTGTTGGCATGAAGTAAGGTTAGTAATGGCTGCTTATGAGTGTAAGGTGATGACTATCAGGCGTTCATATAGYTAAAATATGAACGAATTTATAGCAAACAGCGAAAAAAGTTGGGGAATATGTGGTTGCAGGGTTGCCATGTGACTTACATGTACATATCTAAGTCTAAAATATGAAAAGACTTCCGACTATCTAAAATAATAATATTTTTCCATTAAAACACCAAACTAACGAAGTGCTGGTGAAAGTACTTTCACCACCAGTAGCAGGATTAAAGAAGTATTAAAGTTAACTTTGACGGCAAAGAAGCCATAATACCATTTAAGGGAGATTCTACTCTAGAAATCAAATTTTGGGCAGTTTTTTGAATTTTATTAAAAAAAAAAAATATTTTTACCCTCTATTTTTTTATAGTGTTTTTATTGATATCTTAAGAATACAGAAAAAAAGGGGGTGAGACAGGTGTAAAAAAATGGCGATCCTGGTGACAATGATCCTGACTCTCCTGGTGGTCTGAAAAAAAAAAATCAAAAGAAATTCTTAATCAGTTATAGTCCCTATTTCAGGGAACACGAAAACATTTTTTTTGCAAAATGGCGACTGCCTGAAAATAAAAATCATTTTTTACGTTTTTTGTTTTTTTGAAATTCCTGAATTTTTTTTTTTTTTTTAATTTTAAAAACAAAGGATTAAGGATTATATTAAGATAAAGGATAAAGGATTATATAAAGAAGGTTCACAAAAAATTTCAAGTAAATCTGGTACCCTGTGGAAAAAAGTAGTTTATAAGGCGGCTATATACTATAGTGGTCSGATCTTGACAATGTGTTCGGAAATTGTAGATTTACCTTTTACAATGACAAATGCCGAATAACATAAAGATAATTTGTCAAATAAAAAAGCTTATTATACCATATTCAGATATATAAAATAAAAATTTCACTCATCAACGCTGGTTTTATACTGCGATTATTTCAAATAAATTATATGACTACCATTGCAACGATATCTTCATAGTATCTAAGCATATGCTAGGAGYTTGCCAGTTTCTTCAATGCATTTCACAAACAAAGAAACATTTTACACTTTCAACTTTGCCTTTCTGCATATGTACTACAAAGGAAATTCAAAGCAAGTCAAATAATAACTCACACCAAATCTGAATGCTACGTGTAACTCCTTTAAGCATTGCATTTGTGCCATGCTTGAAGAAAAATTTCCTCAAGCAAAAGCTGGGCATCAACAGCCCTTCCACAATGGCGACTTTCAGATATTTGAATAACTTGCGTACATACATACATTTTGATGTTTGCTTGTGTTGGTGAGTCGACTTTTAGGCGAGTAACCCTCAGCTATCTGCTTGACTGCCTGTGAATGGCTTAACTGTGTGTGAAACTTATCAATCGAAAAACGGGACTCAGCGGCCATTAAACCACAAATATTACAACTTTGTAGTTAAGCAACTTTTTCATTGCAATTACATTTTACATTACATTACTGTAAGTATTTTTGTTTTGCATGAGGAGTCTGCAGCTAGTTTGTTGAATATACCACGCATACATACATACATGGCTGCTTTTATGTATCTATGTATATTTAAATGCTGCTTAAACATGAAATGATATTACAAATAACAGAAATAACAATATAACATGCGATAAATTCATATATTAAATGCAACTACCAACTTATAGCGAGCCTTAATTGTGCGACATGGCGTATGAGTAATATACCTGATAATGGTAGGAGGAGTTCATGTGCATGGCAGTATGTAACGTTAGGGCGAGGAGCATGCGCAGCTAAATAACATGTGAAGAAAATTTAGTACAAAATTTAGCACCAAACTTAACTTAACACCCAAGTGCTTATGTATGTCCGTATGTTGGTTATTGGGTTATGTCTGCAAGCAAGTTTTTGCGTGCTCTATTGCGCATAACTGTACCTCACTAAGCGTTAAACGATAGTYAGCATTAAATGTGCGCACAGACACAGATGCGCAAAACATTTTTACAGCATTTATTTAGTTTTTTTTAGCAAATATAAAAACTCTTCTTTAA